TGCCTAATAAGCTCTGGGAAAGAGTCAAATTGCCGAGAAATTATGAGAAGGCCCTCGAAATAATTGACAAGCACTTGGTAATGAATATGTATTAAGTTCCCCAGTTTTTGCTTTTATCCCTTGAGGGTTAAATTAGACCTCAATGAATGAAATTATTGTCTAATTTTCTTTTTTCAGATGTTCTGGCCAAAGTTATTGGTACACAAGACGAAACAGAGATTGACTAAGATGACACAGATGAGGATACGCATGAGGAAACTTGCTCTGAAGACCAGGTTCGGCAAAATTGTTCATTTGAACTACCTATTTGTGTTACATAACGTTTGGAAGGTTATTATATGATTGATGTGAGTTTACCCAAAACCTCTTCTCGGTTTATTTGCTTCTCAATGAATGAGGATTCGTGTGCACTTATACTTTAGTTCTGCGATCTCCGCTAGTTTTGTTAATGTGTTTTGGCTAGTCACACAACCCAACGAACGAAGCCAAGCAAAGTGGGTTAAGTCTCAGTCCCTAAGGGTATGAGTTCTAAGGAGGAGTAGGAAATAAGTAGGAAATAACCAAATAACCAAGAGGCGGAGATGTTTTTTATAAAGTACATAAAAAGACCAAACAAACTTTTCGAAGCAAAATTCAGAATTCTTTTTATATAAGCTTTTACATAATTGTCATCTATTATGTTCCTTTCATTTTCTCTTTCTTTTTCTTTTTCTTCCCCAGAGAGAAAATTATGACGGTGCCGACAAAAGAAAAGAAACGAGAAGCTCGGAGAGAGGAAAAGGCTGAAAAAGCTGCAGTCTTGGAGAAAGTAACCCTGTTATTTCCCCATTATCTTTGAAAAATAATAAAGAAATAAAATTTGGCTGCTCTTAATATTGGATGATTATTGTGGGGCTCAGCACTTTGGTTTTTGTATTGCAGAGTATTGAAAAGGAGTTGATTGAACGTCTCAAGCAAGGAGTATATAACGACATCTATAATTACCCTGTTAATGAGTTTAACAGTATCCTCGATCAGGAGGTTGGGAAAAGTGCTGTTAGTGAGGATGAAGAGGTGGTTACACGACAAAGTCTTTGCACATAGTTTATTCAATAATCAAAGGCCCCTTCATATTGTATTCTTCCTTATTTTCTTGTGAAATTTCCATTTGAAGGAACCTGAAATTGAATACGTTGAAGGTTATGAGGATCTTGAGGAGGAGTTGGAGGATATTGAGGATTTCGGTGGTTTTGATCTTGGAGAGGATGATGACAATGGTAAATTTGTTCCCTTTATTTATTTATTTTATGTTTCTTGCCTCCATTTGTCTCTGTAGGCTGGTCAGACAATGACACAATAATAGAACAACCCCTTATTTACGTATACCTTAGGGATAGTCACAGAAGCTACTCTCCTGATGATGCTACCCAAGTACCAAAAAAAAAAGAAAAAAAAACAGGAAACAAGTAAAGAACTTCTGCTATCTTTCAAATTAGAGAATCTATGAGGGTTACACCTCTAGTTAGTTTGTGTGCAGCTCATAAAAGAGATAACATGAGAATACATGTCTCAAAATTGTAATTTTTTTAGATAAAATCGAGTTTCTTTATTTATTTTATTTTATTTTCATTTTTTTTTTTTTTTTTTTTTAATGAGTTGGCTGAACTGTAGGGCAGTTTTTGTAAGTAACCCCATTCCATTATATATATGTACTCACAACACACACACACACTTCGATGTATATATAGGTTGAGCACTTCTTGTGTGGGAACTATGAACTGTGCTATAATGCAACATTATATATGCTTCCATTGTCTGTTACTTCACTTGTGATGCTATTTTATATTAATATTACAGATTGCCATTTGCCACCACTTCTCTTTAACTAATCCCTTGATATGCAAATTCCTTAACTAGCATCATAAGTGGCTAATTCATATATATGACATATTATACCATTGTTCATTGTTTTCACACCGGGAAATAGTTTGCACTTGCAGAAAATTCACAGGCACACAAAGACGTATTTATCTATTTTATGTCTTAAACTGAAAGTCTACAAATTTTGAACTCGCAGATGAAATGGATGGTGCTGACGATGATGATGATGACGAACAGAACGTATTAAAGAAAGGTAGAAAGAGTCGTGGTAGGAAGCTGGAGAAAGAAGAAAGAGACCCCAAATCGAGGAAGAAGGTCAAAGTACATGTTGAGGTAATTCTTTTCTTCTTCCTTTTACTTAAATAAATCTTCATAAAACTACCTTTATCAACAATAAACAACATTTTTTTTGTAGGTCGAGCATGAAGATGAGCCTGAAAGACAGACAGCCATGCTTTAGAGTCTTTCACCCATTAGTAATCTGGCACAACTGACCTAAACAAAGTTTTATTGAGGTAAGTTTGTCAAACGAGTTTTGTTATGTATCGGATTATAGTTATATTGTACAAAAAGGCTTGCTCAAGGATAAGCGAGATGATCTTGGATTGTGACTTCTTCTTGCTCCTTTCGATGTGAAAAAGATCGGGCTTTTACCCTTTTGTTGCTGCAAAGCATGGATTCACAAGCTAGCCTCTCTTTCTATTTTGTTTTTTATTTATTTTCTACTGAATTTTGTGGTTACAAAATATATACCTGAAATGTTGTGATGAGTATTTTTGTGTTGTATTCATGTTGTGTTAAACTATGGTAGTTTACTTTTCCCTATCATTTTAGTGGAGTTGTTGTATCTTCATGTCTGCTTCGTGTATAGATTAGAAAACTCAAACCCAATTTCATAATAGACAAAAAAAAAAAAAAAAAAAACACGTTTTTCCAAAGATTTACATGAAAATTCAACAGTAAGTTGGGTAGTGCCCGCAAAATATAAATTAGAAAATTCAACGCGATTTTGTAACTGACAAAACACCACTGGCAGTTATTATACTGAAATTTAATATATATAAGGAAATGTTACGGTCCCGTATCATTTTGTCGGGTATTTTAACCGTGGGATCTACATGTAGTTAGATAGATGATTCAACGGTTAAAACACCTGACGGGATGGTACCGTACTGGGACCGTAGCATTTTCCATATATATTATATTGTTTTCAGACTAAAACAATGTCTGAAATATTACTTTTACTCTCACTTAAATGAGTCTTCTAAGCTAGGGTCTGAGTTCAATGATGCCATATTCCTAAAATCATTTCTCATATATATATACATATATATATATATATATAAATGTGTCTTATAAAGAAAAATAAAAATATTATTTGACTATTTCTTTTCTCTTCTACTAATACAATAACCGTGTACAACACGGGTGTTGAGTAAAGAAATATATGATAAAAGTTATTTATGTCTAATACCAAATTTAACTCCAGAGCAAAAATAATATAAAAGCAACATCACGAAACATAGATTTTTGTCATGTCAGCATTTAAAGCGTGAGAATTTGTCACTTAGGTTCAACACGTTTGAACTAATATATAGGGAGGAGAGATTATTTACTATATACATCTCTAAAAGTTTGTTAAAAATTCCTTCACTTCATAATTCTAGCAAACTGAATTTTGTTATTTCTATCCTATCAAATAAACTATAGCTATTATATTCTCCTCCAATTTTTCATTTACATTTATTGAAAATTTCCACTCATTAAATAAATCTAGCTTGAAGTATTATATCCAATTACCTAAACCCAGTGCAATATTTAAAATAATGTTATTACACAAGATAAATTTAAATTTATGTAAAATCATTAGTTATATATAGAAATTTTCTTTTTTTATATTTTATATTGTATATAAAGAAACTCTCTATGAAGTAAACAATTCGTCAATAATTTTGCCAGCCTTTGATTTTTAATTAAGAAAAGTCTTGTCTATTTTGTTTACTTTTAGTCAATGCCTTTTGGCAATTTTAGATGAAATTGGAAATGTATGAAATTCAATTGTACTCTATCCAATTATCTTATTCTGTTTTATTTTTTTAATTAATTATGATATTGTAGGAAAGTAGTGAGATAATAATTAATAATTATAACTATGTAATTTAATAAACATTAAGTTTTATAATTTATGTGTAGTAATGATTTTTATTTTTATAGTAAGAAACTGCTTATAGAAAATAACAGCGAAAGACATCCAATAATTATCCAGTCAAAAACTGTTTTGACAACAACGATAAATTACTTCATAATCTATTACAAAATTTTATTCATAAACTCATGTATATGCATTTTTATATATGCATTTTTATAAATAAATATCAATACTTTAAAAAATAATATAAATAAAAGTATATAGTTTTACCATATACATATAATTTTTTATTCCCATAATAATAATAATAATAATAATAATAATAATAATAATAATAATAATAATAATAATAATAATAATAATAATAATAATAAGTATTATTATTATAATCGACCTAACGTTGTCAATAACATTCTTGCTTATTTTGTCAATCTATTTATATGAAAGGAGCTTAATATTAAATAGTACTCAGATCATGTTAACATATACGAATGTAAATAAATTATCATAAGACATATGATGGATATTATAATTTATGCTAAAAATATAATTTCCAAAAGCAAAAAAAAAAAAAAAAAAAAAAAAAAAAAAAAAAAAAAAGTTATATAAAGGGTGATTTAAGGTTATAAATGGAGAGGATAAGCCATAAAAAAAAATATATATATTACCCGTTATAAATGTAACGAAAAAGAGCGAGAAATGTAAAATTTTACAATTAATTTTTTCGTCAACAATTATATATACTCGGTTTTTTGTCAAAACCTCATATTGATACAAATTAGAAAATGACACTAAGGAAAATTTAAAATTGGCACAACAAAGCCAAATCAAAGGCTAACACGCCTAAACAACATTTTCCTATGTCTATATCATACAAATTGGACCATATGTTCTCCAAAAATCATGTTATATATAGTCCATGAGGTCCATTTAATTTGATTTCTCATACTAAAATGATTAATTATAAACCATGATGAAAAAGTCAATTCCCCGTGTTAGGAACTAAGATGGCAAGTTCCATAATTAATGCTATATCATATGCTAAATAAAAGAAGGGTAATTATTTGATTTCATTATAATCCATATACTATTGCTATTCTTTTATATTATTCCATAGATTTTATTTTTTCTAATAAAACTATGTAAATATATGAAAAAACAAAAATGACTATACATTGATTGGCCAACCTCACAATAGTATTGGAAATGACATGATCAACTTATATTTACCCATTATTAAATTATTATGCAATTCTTACTTTTAAGTAAGAGTGCATATATCTTCGTAAATTGATTGAATTTTAAAAATTTACTCCCTTATGTGTATATTATAGTCTAAAAATAATAGTTAAATAATTGTTAAAAGACAAATTTAATGATTAGACAAACATACATTTTCAAGAGATAATATTATACTCTAAAAAATAACATAAATGAAAATATGATTTTTTTAATAAAAATATATATGTATATTTTCTAAAATAGTATAATGAGTCGAGCAGCTAACAGTTGGTCATTCTCAATGCCTATAAACGAGTCGAGCTGAGCTCCAGCTTAGGGGGCTCGAGCTCGAGCCCCTCGATAGATACACTGGCCTGAAATCGAGGTCGAGTTCGACTTGTTTATCATTACTGACGAATCGAGTTCGAGCCTTAAAGAGCCGACCTCAAGTTTTAGAGAGTCAAACTATAAATAAGCTCGAACTAGACTCGTTCATCAAACGTGCCAAGCCGAACTTGAGATTTAATGAGCTGAGCTCGAACCTAGTCGAGCCAGACTTGTTTAGTTTAATAAAACTTACACTACTTGAAGGAAAAATTAGCACACACATTACACACACTGACACAAATACCCTATAACACGCTCAAGGTCTTGAGCCAGTCAATGGACGCGTCAAGCCAGCCGACACTCACCCATAAGTGGCCATTTTGAATTAGCCCATCCTTTTAACTTTCTTAATGATGTTCCTATCCAAGATCATGGGCATTTTAGTCAGCTTAAACACTCAAATTTGTCCCCCACAAAAATTCGACAGATATATAATAAAGGTTGGGCTCTAATGGTGGAATAGTGTAGAAAAAAGAAGACAAGAAAAACGGCTTCATTCCAGTCTTATTGACAACTGCCGCCCCACACACCACAACGGGCCTCAAACACACACATACCTTTCTGGTTTTTCATATTCTTTATTTTATTTTTTTTTTCAAAATTTCAAACTTTCATTTTTTTGGGGGTCTTGTTTTCGCATTTAGGGTTCATTTTGTTTTGTGGGTTCTTCCACATCTCAATTTTTCTGATTGAAAGGTCCGATCTTTGATCAGGGTTCATCGATTTATTTATTTATTTATTTATTTTGTTAACTCTGGTTAGAGATCTGAGTTTGAATTCTGGTTTGAGAGAGAGGAATGTGCAGTTTGTCCAGATTTTGGGACAAGGTGAATACGATGGCAGAAGGTGGATCTCGTTATTGCTCTAAGAAATCCGATGATGTCTGTGGGGATGCTTGTGGTGAGGTAAAATTTTTCTCCAATTTTACCCTTTTATGTTTTTTATTTTTATTTTTTTACCAATAATTTCTGGTTAGATTACATTAATACTGGAGCATTTATTGTTACATTTTCTGTCTGGGGTGTGAATGATGAATTGATTGTGGTTTTTTGATGGTGGGTTGGTTTTGGATTTTGTGGTTCATGATGACTCAAAATTTGTGGTTTCCTCTGAAAATTTTTGGTTCTGTACAAAGCTGTGTTTTGCTTAGGTTCAGATCAAAATCACACCTTTATGCTGTTTTTGTGATATCAAAATGTCAACCAAATTTAAGATCCACTAGTTCTTCTCTTTTCGTTTGATAATGATTTGAATTATTTGTGCTCTTTAAATGTGTTCTGATGAATCATTTTCTGCTATTTGTTGTCTAGATTTCTCAATCAAATAATCGTCGAGCTCATTCGAGTCTCGTCCTGTTTTCATTTGGATATCTGAACTCTAAAGAACCTTCCTAAGCTCCAGAAACTCATTACATTATGAAGCATACAAAAATTTTTGCCCAAAAAAATAAAAAAGAATCATACAAATACACACATCAAAGGTTTTGATGTTTACTCGTTTTTTTTATCTCACTCGCATGTTATACCTCTCACTGCAGGATTCTAGCCGACCCCTTAGCATGGCTCGGTTGAAATGCTTCTTACGTGGGCTCGATATAAAAGCATACCTCTTTCTATTCATGCTTGTTCCCACGTGCGTTTTCTTAATTTACATGCACGGCCAGAAAATCACTTACTTCCTCCGCCCCTTATGGGAGTCCCCTCCGAAGCCCTTCACCGAAATCCCTCACTACTATCACGAAAACGTGTCAATGGAGAATCTATGCAAGCTCCACGGGTGGGGCCTACGTGAGTACCCCAGACGGGTATACGATGCCGTTTTATTCAGCAACGAGCTCGATATTCTCAAATTACGCTGGAAAGAATTGTACCCATACGTGACCGAATTCGTTCTCCTCGAGTCCAACTCGACCTTCACGGGCCTCCCGAAGCCCATGGTCTTCTCCTCTGCGAGGGCCCAGTTCGATTTTGTCGAGGCCCGTTTGACTTACGGCCAAGTCCCCGGGAGGTTCAAACGGGGAGAAAACCCGTTTGTGGAAGAAGCGTATCAAAGGATTGCGTTGGATTATTTACTCAAACAGGCCGGGATTCAAGATGACGATCTCTTGATAATGTCTGACGTTGATGAAATCCCGAGCAGGCACACGATTAATCTCCTGAGGTGGTGCGATGGGATTCCTCCCATTTTGCATCTCCGTTTGAAGAACTATCTATACTCGTTCGAGTTCTTGCTCGATAATAACAGCTGGCGGGCCTCGGTCCATGTTTATCAGTCTGGAAAGACGAAGTACGCGCATTATCGGCAATCGGACGTGATTTTGGCAGATGCTGGCTGGCACTGCAGCTTTTGCTTTCGGAGGATAAGCGAGTTTGTGTTCAAGATGAAAGCTTACAGTCATGTGGATCGGGTTCGGTTTTCGCATTTTCTGAGCCCCAAGAGGATACAGAGAGTTATTTGTAAAGGTGCTGATTTATTCGATATGCTGCCCGAGGAATACACGTTTAAGGAGATTATAGGTAAAATGGGCCCAATCCCACACTCATACTCGGCTGTTCATCTGCCAGCGTACCTTTTGGAGAATGCGGATAAATTTAAGTTTCTTTTGCCTGGAAATTGTATGAGGGAAAGCGGTTGAGGGAAGGAGGAGGAAATTTCGATGGAGTCTTTTTTTTTTTTTTGGTTGTACAGGTTATTGAGGTGGATGCCAGCTTGTTGAGATCTCGAGGGGAGTTAAAAAAGGTAACTTGCCGATTAATTAATGACTGTGCGTGTGCGCGTGTGTTGGTTTTATTTTATGACTGTCGTCGGGCCCTAGTTATATATCATTCTTTTCGGCAAGTGTTTTGGCACGAAAAAAAAAAAATCTAGAGTGAGCTTGAGCTTCTGTATATATAGACCATTTTTCTTGTTTATTTAGACTTCATTTCGCTGTGAGACTTGATTGATACGTGATAGTATTTGTAGACTGAGTGAGTTCTTTTTTTCTTTTTTCCTTCTGTTCGATATGAAGTGTGAAGCTATTATATGACATTATCGTGGTTCCCGGTCTGGCTTTTTTTCTCATTTTTATTAGGAAACTTTTGGTGAAGGGTTAATTCTGTTTAGCTGCCCTTGTGAAAAAGTCTGTTGTCTTCTGCTTGATTTTTTGTTTAGAGCTTTAGTCATGAATCTACCTTTTGAGGTTCGGCCCAGTCTTGAGAAGGGAAAATTCATGTGACTTTCAAAAGCACAAAAACATCACCTACCCTCAATCTATGGAGTTGTATATGTAATGTAAATAGAGGTAAATTTCAAAGGAGTATTTGCAATTATAAAAAGATTTTTGGGGTTATTTGATGATTAAATCGAGCTCTGAGGCAACTTAACTTCTTGTTTTATGTGGAAGATTCGACTGTGCAGTCACCGGGTTTTTCACTGTGTGTTAATGCAACGGTAAAAAACCCGACAATATTGGTTAGGGTGAAATCTACCCTTTTATGTCAAGGGCTGTAGGTAATTATCTTGCAGAGCTTTTTTTTTTTTTTTTTTT